AAAATAAGAGTAACAATTCTCCCTCACTCCTTGTGGAAAGCTGTAGCAAAATCACCACAACCATTGAGATTTGATAATTAAAGGATATGGCTGAAAAAATCGCTCTTTTTTAAAGTTTCTTGAGCTGCCATGTTTCTTCAGAGACGTTCAGCGATCCCGTAAATTGTTATAAATTATGATCCGACACAAGTCCGATAAAACCTACACACCTTAAGAACAAATATAGTGTTTAGTTTGAATATTTACAGAGGCTTTAAGAACGAAAGTAAAGTCATACCGATACCAAAATGTACAATAGTTTGCTCCTTTATGACTGTACATGAGATTGTACAGTTGTCAAGATAACAGGATGATAACAAGCAGAGGTTTAACTGTCAAAAGTCAAACAGAGAAAAACACAGAGGGCACCGAAGTCTTGTTCCAGTTAATGAGGGAGGGACTGCAGAGTATAAAGTATAATCTTCTGCTGATCTTTCATACAGAGAGCAGCATTTATTACCATCAATGATTAACCAATGAAGGAGGTTGGTGAACTTGAAGTCAGATTCTGTCATTGTTGAAAGGAGACACGACGACGTTACACCTTGGAATAATGTTCCACCTGGGACTGAGAAAAGACTGGAAATTAATGCAAATGTTATTTGGTGAGTTTTTTTGTTGTTTTTTAACTATTTGAAAAAGTCAGAAAATGGCTGAGAAGATTTTAGTTTTGGAAAGTTTCCTGCGCTGCCATGTTTGTTCCGAGACGTTCAGAGATCCCGTGTCTCTGAGCTGTGGCCACAGCTTCTGTTCAAGATGCCTGCAGCGATTTTGGAAAAAAGCTGGAAACAAGAACTGTCCCATCTGTAAAACTAAGTCCTCTAAAGATAATATTTGGGTGAATTTTCCACTGAAGGGACTGGCTGACTCGTTAGCTGGGAGACAGAAAACTGGATCAACTGGGAGAAAAAAAAGAGGAGAGAAGAAGGTGGAGGTGGTGTGTGAAGAACATCCAGAAGTCCCTCATTGGTTCTGTGAGGACGAGCAGAAAGCTGTGTGTCCTGTCTGTGAGATCTCTCTCCACCAGCGTCACAAGGTGGTTCCTCTAGAACAAGCAGTCAGGAACCTGAAGGACCAGCTGAGATCTGACTTGAAGTCTCTGCAGGACAAGAAGGACAAACACCAACAAGTGGAGAAAACATACAATGAAGTGATCCAACTCTCCAAGGAGCAGCTGGTGTCCACAGAGAGGAAGATCAGAGCAGATTTCAACAAGCTCCACCAGTTCCTGAGAGAGGAAGAGGAGTCCAGACTGGCAGCTCTGAGGGAGGAAGAGGAGCAGAAGGGGAAGACCATCAGCAGAGAGATGAAGATGATTGAGGAGCAGATCTCCTCTCTGTCAGACAGCATCTCTGCTGTTGAAGAAGACCTGCAGAAAGACAAGGTGTCGTTCCTCAGCAGTTATAAAGCCACTCAGACCAGAGCCAGAGTCCAGAGCTCACTGACAGATCCACAGCTGGTCTCAGGAGCGCTGATAGATGTGGCCAAACACCTGGGCAACCTGTCCTTCAGAGTCTGGGAGAAGATGAAGGACCTGGTCCACTTCAGTCCTGTCATTCTGGACCCAAACACTGCAAACTACTTTCTCTCTCTGTCTGATGATCTGACCAGTGTGAGATGTGGAGACACAAACCAGCAGCTTCCTGATAATCCAGAGAGATTCACTACGTATGCAGATGTTCTGGGCTCTGAGGGCTTCAGCTCAGGGAAACACAGCTGGGAGGTGGAGGTGGGAGACCATCCTTACTGGCTTGTAGGTTTGGTTAAAGAGTCAGTTGACAGGAAGGGAGAGATGGGTGCTTCACCAAAACATGGAATCTGGTGTTTATTCTATCGCAGTGGAACATACACTAATGGAATCTGTCAGACTGTCAGAGTGAAGAAGAGACTCCAGAGGATCAGAGTCCAGCTGGACTACGACAGGGGGGACGTGTCCTTCTACAACCCTGAAGACACGACTCACATCTACACTCACAGAGACACTTTCACTGAGAAACTCTTCCCATATTTTTATATTGGAAGGTCTGGTGCCAAAACTGCTGATATCAAAATCTGTCAAACTGATGTTTCTCTGTCATGTTCAGTGAAGGTGGTGAAGTCAAAGTGATTCATCAGCATGTTTATTATAGTTTGTTGTTGTGTTCTGAAAATATTTTTAAATTAAAGAATGAAAAACTAAAGCATAAATAAGCAGAACTATGTGTGTGAGGGATACTGTTTAAATAGTGTTTTTGGTGTAAATATTCAGACAAGTACATACAAGTAGATTTACTGTGATCATTTTATTTTTAAATGTATAAATACTTTTTTCTAAAGAACAACAACGTTAAGTTTGCAAAGGTGGATATTTGGTAGTCATGTTTCTACCTTTAAACATAAGGTAACATCAAATATTGTCTTTTGAAAACAGGAAGGAGATGAAGGGGGAGCAGATGTTTGACCGTTCTATTGTTAACCAGGTGTGCATGTGTGCACAGGGAAATTAAACAAATTTCTGTGCCTGAACAACTGAAAGAAAATTGAACTTTTATTCACTAAATGTGACTGATTCTCTTCAGTTTTATCTGTATGAGCCCATGTGAAAAGCATAACATTCTGATAAAAAGTGACATTGACTTTAACATAGTGTCTTTTAGTGCTGAACCTTGAAGTGGATTCTATTGTGCAATAATCGGTTGAGGATTGCGCCGTCTGTGTGTGTCTGTGCCTCACGTTGTGCGACTGCGCCCCCTGCTGGAGCTCCTTCTCTCTCTGCTGCCTCTCAGTGAAGCTCCACTCAGTCCTGGTGCTCCTCGTGTTCTCTGAGCTACGCGAGGGCCACGTTCTGCACCGACAACACGGGGCCCCAGAGGAGAGCATCTTCATCATCATCACGTCATCGTCACTGTCAACATCCTCCTATAGTGCCACATCATCAACATCATCATCTCCTCTGTATCATCTAGAGATAAAAGTCTTCATACGCTGAGAGAATAGACAGAGTTTAACAGCATTCAAGAGAAAATGAGGAACCAAGTTAAAATAAAAACACTAATAAACAAAGTGTCCAGGTGACTGTCATGCAAAGTAAATGCAGCTAAGCAGCCAGTTATCTGCAGGTGTGTGATGCTGTGTCCTCCCTCATTTTAAACATGTGAATCTTATTTTAATACTCTGAAGGCTTGAAACACACAAGAAGAACAACACCTTTGGACCGTACAACACCTTCAGGTAGCTTTTGACCTTTTACTGTCAACTGGGCATCAACACTGATGCTGGATGAGACACGTGATGGCGAATTTTCAGTGTGTTACTCATTTTACAATATGACTCATCTTCCTGTTTGTGATGTCAGACTTCTCTGTGTTTAGACCCTTTCAACTCACCTGAAATAAGGCTAAAGTTTTAGGACAACACGTTTCAAACAAGATTAAATGTCAGACGTGGGGGTCTCTCAAGTTCATTAGCACATCTGTGTTGATTAAATTGTTTCTTCTTTGACAACAGGAAGGAGATGAATGGGAGAGCAGATGTTTGACCGTTCTATTGTTAACCAGGTGTTTTGGTGCCGCCGCGTGTCATCCTGTCCTTTGTGGGCAATGCAGATCCTGCAGTCTCGGCTCGTCCTCCTGCAGACTGCAGTCTTCTGACCTAAGACAAAAAGTGCAAATGTAAATGAGCAGATTTTCCTAAATGGTAATGCACAGTCAGTCAGTATAATTTAAGTCATCAATTGTTAGAGTATAATTCAAATTTTATTGAACAAACCCAAATCCCAATGTATATTTTTTTCAATAAAAAAACCTCAAAATGCAGTGTTCCAAATTATTTCACAGTTAAGATTTTATAGGTTGTAAAGAACTAAAAATGGTCATTTGTTGAATTTGCAGCAGTAGGTCATATTTACTGAAATCATAAAAAGTTTTAATCAAAAACATCTCAACAGGTCTTCTTTGATGTCAACTTAAAAAATTATTGCATCCATTGAACTTGTGAGTTCTTTGATAGTTTCTACTTTAATGTCTTTGATGCCATCATAGCCTCCTAGAGCACCTGCTTGGCGGCCCGAACACCAAGACAGTGGTACAATTATGATACATAAGGTTCATACGCATTCTGAACAATGGATATTCATGACTTTTCAATGACTTAACACACTTTCCATCACACCACAACTGGCTTTTAAACCTGCTGGTTTCCCTACGTGTGCATGTTTTGTGTTTACTCCACAGCAGCAGCTGTGCGCCTCTAGGGTAAGGATGTGGTTACAGGGGGGTGAAGGAGGAAAGTGAGGGCGATAGGGGTGAAGTTGGTGGGACACGAGTAGAGGTGGGTTTGAGAAAGAGGAGCGTATGCCAGCAGTTTTTTGGTAAAGTAGCTGACAAAGTCACCCCGGAAGAAAGGGTGGGAGAGCACTAGAGGGGTTCGAAGGAGGTTGGAGAAGATTTTTGAGGGTTAGGGAAATGAAGATTCAATTCTGGATTGGTAGAAAGAGCTTTTGGCCGCAGAGGATACAGGTACAGAGTCAGTTGATGGGGCGGGGTTGTTAGTTATAGAGAGTGGGAGAGAGTAAGAGATGAAGACGTGGAGTTACAGAGAGGTTAGTGGTAGAGCAGTTTCTAGTGAAGATGTAGTCAAGGTGTCGGCTTTGTGGGAGGAGAGGGACTGAGTGACAGAGCGAAAGAAGGTGTAAGAGGTCACATGACTTCTGTCTGGATGTTGAAGTCACCCAGGAGGATGAGCGGAGGGCCACTTTCAGGGAAGTTGGACAGGAGAATGTCCAGTTCTTCCAAGAAATGACCCAAGGAGCCTGGCGGACGGTAAAGGACAACGATAGTTAATTGTACCAGGTGAGTAACTGTTACAGCATGGAATTCGAAAGACAGTGGGGTGGACGGTGGAAGAGGCTAGAGAGAAAAGCTCCATTTGGGTGAAATGAGTAGACCTGATCTCGATCAGGATCCATCCAGTCAAAACGAGGATTGACGACATTAAAGAATGTTTTTTTTACTTCAAACATACATTTATTCATTTTTGTTAACAAACTAACTCAAATTGAATAAATTAATAACAGGCAAAAACTGACAAAACAAGGCCAGGTACTCGAGGCCATGTAGCTCAACTTAAGGCCTACCTTTCATTTCAATAGTTGAATTAAATTAAACCAGGGGTCTTCAACATTCTACGGAGTTTGGTCCGCCATCTTATTTTTTGGAGCTTCACGCTCTTTAGACGTGAGCATAAACGCGATCTGATTGGCCGGTGCCTGCGCTGTCGTATCAGCATGAAAGGAGCAGTGAGTGAACCGGTGTCCAGCTTGAGAGCTGCTGAGGGACGCTGAATGTGTGCGTTGCGGACTAAAAGATAACGTCTTCTCCATCAATTTATCCGTTTGCTTCAATATGTTGGATTCATGTTAATGTGTATCTAAAGACAATAAATACAATTCTGATTCTGAAGATATTTACTTTACTTATTAGTGGGGAAAAAATTGTCTTATCAACCAAAAATTTCGCGACCCCCCCCTGCAGTACTTCAGTACCCCCTGGGGGTCGCAGACCCCCCTGGGGGTCGCAGACCCCCTGTTGAAGACCTCTGAATTAAACAATGGAGGTAAAGCTGATGACGCAACCAGGAAGCCCCCCCATCCTTCGGCCAGACCGTCTCCTTTCAGGGGCCGCTCGGTTCAGCCTGTAGCTGTGTCTCAAGGTCCCTGGGCTGCATCCTCAAGGACGCATTTGTCGACCGCATACGTCACTTCCTCTGCGACTCGGCTGCAACTCGCCTGTCCCAATTTGTCCGCTCCTCCGAACGTGGTAACGGGATTTAGCCCTCCAGGAGCAGATTTGGAGGACACATCGGATCTATCCTTTGCGGCCCAACATAGCGTTCACTTTTAAATGTAACGTTAAGTAATAGAATTCACTCCAACATCTACTGATAGAAATGTTATAATATAATATATAACATCACGTTAGTGTATGCAATCGCTAAAGTTACGTTACGTTGTTGTGTTTTTAAATGCACATAAGACGCTAGATTACACTGCTCTTAGTTCTTAGTTAGTAGTAGTTCTTCTCTCAGCCTGAAATATATCATGCTCCGAAGGAGCTTTTCTTCCTGAATTAAATTAAATAAGATATTCTTTTTCTGTACTTTGTCTTTTGTTTGGCTCTTAAGACTTTTACTGTCAAGCGCTGCAGGTTGCTAGGCAACAGGAGCAGCAGAGGTCAAGCTGATGACGCCACTTCAGAGACCGCTCGGCTCAGCCTATGTGGTTGTTGAAGGACGCAGCCCAGGTCTACCGCGGCTGGCTGCTGGCTACAAGGATGCAGCCTAGCGACTTTGAGACACAGCTACGGCTTATGCGGTTTTGGAGGACCAGCCCAAGTCTACTCCAAAGGCTGCTGAAGGCTACAAGAATACAGCCCCTAGGCAATTGAGACACTGCTATAGTCGATTCACTGTCACTTCAAAAACAGCCAAAGGTCCTGTTTGAAAAGCTCAATATGTCTAACGTATAGGCGACGTTGACAGGAACACATTAGGCTAAAGGCTTTCGCTTGTGTGCCAACAAGTGGTTGCCACTGTTGGATGATTTTATAGATTGGTTTAGTATGTTCTCGGGGATCTTCAGAAAGTAGTGATACTGGAGCTCTGTTGAATGCCTGTAACGTCCGTGGTTGTTGAAGTTATTATGTGCTTTATAAGTTATTGTTGGCTGTTTTTTAAAGGACAATATGCACATATACAATCTACATTTTGCAGCTATTTCAGTGCACAAAATGTCTCATGAGTGAAGTGGTTAATCACTGGCTATGGTGGGAAAAGAGACCGGATAGAGTACGTGGTGGCTTATTGGAAAACCTCAATTTTATTAAATGACCACGCAGCGACTCCTCGCAGAGTGTAGAAAACCTAAACGGAAAGCAAGAAAAGTGGGAGCCAAAACAAAGAGCCCCCACAAGACCTGATGTTCGGCAACATGCCTG